GTGTTTGAGGTGCTGTGCTATCACTGGTACATCTGCAGGCTTCTACAGTGCTACGGATCAATGAATGAAACAGGGTTAAATTTACAGCTGTTCGCAGCACTCGGAGCACTATAGGAGCAATCAGACATAGCGATTATATTACAACAGCTTGTACCAGCATCTTTCAATACAGTATCACTGTTAGGTTTGCCAACACCCAAAATGTTTCATGCTTGTACCCAAAAAACAGAAAATGAGTCCTTTTCAATTAACTGCAATTTTTGTTTGTTTGTTTGTTTGTTTGTTTTTTACTGAAATTAGAAAACTATTCAAAGGGAATCTTCATAAAGGCAAAAATGAAAACCAAACTTTCTTGGTGGGAACAAAACACAGTGTCCTAGCCAGTCTTTGTTACTAACCCAGCCACAGCAAGTAGAAGTGCCCCAGCCAGACTGTGTCTCTGCAATTTTATGCAGGAATGAATTTTAGGAGATAGCACTAATTTTTGCAAGAGAGGGTTTTTTTCTTCCTTAAATCCAGCTCTTTCTAAAGCAGGCTTTATTACTCAAGGTATATGCACAGACTGCAGTCACAAAGTGACCTTCTCCATGGGATAAATTAACCCATGCTGAACTCCGTGCCGCTGCAGCTAAACAGCTGCTAGTACCTGAGCGAGCTGGTTAAAGAGTAGTTGGGCATCTCTCACTGCTCATTACTTCTGGGACCGCAGCGCGGACACTGCGGTCAGCTACAGGATAAACTTGTGTTTGCTGTATAACATGCTCTGTCCCATTCCCAGGGGAAAGGGCACTGGTTTAGACCATGCACTGTTCTGGGTAGCTCCTCGTGTAATCCCTCCATGCCAGAGTGCAGAGAGCTGCCCTTATGGGCCTGGGTCTTCCCACAGGTGTGCTTTTGGGAGGGCCATGTTGCCTCAAAGAAGCCGAGTTGCCATCTCAGCCTGAAATGCAGAAGGCACTCACTCCCCACGTGCTTCCTCGGCCTGTGCTGAAGTCTCATTGTCCAGAGAACAAAATCATGGAAAACAGCTTGTGTCAATGCAGGGTTTTGTTTACAAACGCAGCCTGCCCGGATTCCTTCCCGAATGCCACGCTGCCCCCACGGGCCCGGCTCGGCACAAAGCCATCCTTGGGCCCGAGCAGGCAAGAGGCAAAGGTTACTCTCATTAGCATTCATTGGCAGCTTTCTCTCCATCGGCTCATTCTGTGCTGCAATATTAGCGATGAATTCCTGGAGTTCAAGTGCTGGGGGTTCGACCATTTTAAATTCTAATGAGGCCTGATTTTGCCTGGGTCATCTCTGAAACAGGAGACCTGATTTTAGAGGGGTCTTGTGAGTGCTCAGCGCCTTCTGAGGTCAGGCACTAGGTTGTGAGGGCAGAATCAGCATCTTCCCCCTCCCACTTTCCGAAGTGCGACAGCACGTTGGGGACTCAGACGGCTTCGTCACAAGATGAGCGGCCGAGGAGGCTCCTTGCTGGAAGACCGGGCACTTGCTGCGTCCACAGTGAAGAATGTGGATGTAGCGATGGGAAAGAAGGGAAGCGAAGGCCCCATGGCCACAAACGGTAGCTTGAATTTATCTGCCGTGCCCTAGGACACGCCTCATTAGGATGCTCGGGATAGACCTGAGCCGAGAGGTTTCTTTGCAGAGAGAGTTTGACATTTATATCTTCTGTGTGGTCTGTCTGCAGTCCGAGGGCTTGTTTCCACCTTTGACGCTGAGGCTTTGTTTGAAGGCCTGGATCGTGCGTGACTAATACTATACTACAGAAGTAAATGGAAACCCAGTGGGCATGTCTACATGTGCAATTAAGTAGCAGCAATAAACTCCAGCACACATCATGCTGGAGTTTATTGCTCCCAGGCATGTCTTTATATGTGCCCAGGACCACAGCTAGCTGAGCTGGTTTGGAGCAGCCTTGGCTGGCAGGGGGCCTGGGGCCAGCCTGCCGGCCCAGGGCTGCTCTGCCCTGGGTCAGTGTTTTGGAGGGGCTGGCTGGGGCAAGAGGGTGCTAGCTTGCACGCAGCCCCCACACTGAAGCACCCTCATGCCCCAGCCAGCTGGGGCAGCATCTACACATGTGCTGCTGTGGAGTTTTTTACTCCGCAGTGGGATAGTACTTGTATTAATAATTATTATCCTGCTGTGCATGGGTGACTGGCGCTGCCTTAGTCAGGGGGAACAGGTGCCCACCTTGAGATTCCCCGCAGCTGATCTCACTGCCCAGGATGGGCTGCGACGGCCGCTCGCTGCATCTGCTTCTCGGAGTGGCTGTTGCTGCTTTTGGGAGCGGCTGCAGCAATTGGCCGGCGCTTGCAGGCGGGGGTTGGTGTTCCCACCTGCCCCCCCTGCCCGTTGCCTAAGCGGCAAGTGCGTCCGGTCAGGGGATGCACGTGCACCCCCTTTCCGTCACCACTGCTGCTGCGGAGTTAATTCATTCGCTCCAGCCTAATAGGGATGCTGGTGTAGACACACAATGGTTACTGTGCAGCTAATGAGTCAGCTGCATAGTAGACATCTGGAGTAGATGCAGCCACTAATTGCAAAACTGCCACCTCGGCATTGGGATCTGTGGCAACACTAAGTCTCCCACGTCAGAGAGGCACAGAAAGTGAGGGTGAGGGACCTCAGGATGTCACATCCAGTTCAACCCCTGCTCCAAGCAGGACCCCAGCCAAGGGGGAGACTTCCCGCACTGCCTCTCTGGACAGCCTGGTCCAGTGCTTTGCTGGCCTCCCCTACCCAACCTCACGGGCCCTTGCCGCGCACGCAGGGCCTGGCTGCTGGATTAACAGCCCGCGGCC